TTTACCACCCCAGGGATATCGTCCACTCAGGTGGGAATTCTTAGGTAGGAGGGCCACAAAAAAAAAAGATCTAATGAAGGTGTCCTGAACAAGGACTGAAAAAGTAGGCGGGAAGGAGGGGGAATTTATAGTCTAGTGAAGGGTGGTCCTAGTTGGGGTTGGAGGTGGAGCTAATCCTTTGGTATGCTGACATGAGATGAGCCAGGAAAGTATAGCCAGGTAAAGCCAGGAGAATATATTTTATGGGTATGTAATAGCAGTACATTGTCACTAGGTGGTGGAAATGTACAACTATAACTAATCTGCATAATATGTCTACTGATATAGCAATATTGTATCTCCTTTGTCAAGTTATTTGTATGAATTCTCCAATGAAATGAATTATATTTTTTTCCTGCAGGCCAGAATAGGATGTCACACTTCCCTGTGTCATCCAGCGCCGGGTTTTGCCTCCTGTCTGAAGTGCTTGGCTTCCTGCCAATCTACTTCGAACCTCAGTGTTAAATATTCAGTTCCCTTGATGCTTGCGGTTTGAGTAACATATCTTTACATTTAGTCGGACCCCCTGTGTATCGCTTGCCCTTAAAGCCCTGCGGATTGCTACTAACTGCTTTATTCCCTGTCTATCTCTGGATTCCCTTGTGCTCCCAGTGAGATACTGCACGTCCAGCAAGTGGATTGTTATCATCTCCTTCAGTGAGCCCCTGCACCTGTGCTTACCTATGTGTCTGTCTTCTTGTGTGGTTGCTTGTTGTTGCTGCCTCCTATCACATTATTGTTTGGACTTCTACCTTTGTGTCCCTCAGTATCCAGAACCGCTTTCTGTGTATAGGCTTCGCCCCTGCCTGCTGCTGTATCTAGCGCCTCGGTGCTGCAAACAGCCTTCTGAGTCTGTGCGGGTGTGCTAGAGGGCCGCAACCTGGAAGGTGTCCAGCAGCCAATCATCCTCACCATTAGAGGCTCTGTGGAAGACCTGGCCATTCTTAGATCCTACACCTCTAGTGCGTCCCCAAAAACGCACAGACTCTTAGTCTCCAAGCTTCCTGTGACCAGCATTCCAGACATCACTCCAGCCAGCAACCCTAACCTGCTCCGCAAGACCCGGAGCTCACCCACCCCAGTGCCCCAGACCCAAGATCATGACAGTTTGCTTGAACCATGACCAATGAATCTCTACAACCTGTGAACTTCAACTAACAACTCCTCCAGAGACTCAATGCTCAAGAATCCTGCCACAGTCAGATCATTCATCACCTACGGACCCTTTCCACTCAGCTGGATCAATTTCAAGCGTTGCTACCTGCGTCCGCCAAGTTATCACAGCTGTCTCCTGTGCAGCAATCTTCCTCTGTAGTAGTGTCTGCGCTTCATCTTCCAGCACCGTCACGTTTTTTTGGCGATCCTAAAGCCTGCTATGGATTTGGGAATCAGTGCAACGTTCATCTTGAGCTGCAGCCACAGAATTTTCCCACCAATCGAGCCAAAGTGGCGTACATAGTCTCTCCTTTCCAGGAAAGCTCTGGCTAGTGACATTGTTACATCCATGCCCTTTTCCAGAAGATTTTTGATGAACCTGCTCGTGTGTCCTCTGCTGCAGGTGCACTCCTGCATCTCCGCCAAGACACTCAGAGGGTGGGACAGTATGTTATTCAATTCTGCACTCTTGCAGCTGAAGTAAAAATTCACTTGACTCAAACCATTGCAATAGCACAGACATCTCTCTCTGATACGTATAAGCCCTTGTAAGCAGGGCTGTTTTTATTATTGATTGGACCCTGGGCGAAACTCATTTACATAAAAACATAAATAATAAAGGATAGTAAAATTGTAAACTATGTATATATCCAAATCATAATAGCATTATTTTTTATACATAAACAGAACACAGGGTGTCTGCCATAAAAAAAAACTATTTACAAAACCTATGAGAACGACAGACTAAGAAACTCACCCATTACCTATGCATGTAGCCTTTTTTCAAAAATGATTCATCTTATATTCAAAATAATTCATCTTATATTCAGACAAAGAAAGCCAAACACCCAGAGACTAACAGACAGAAGCTATGGAGGCCTGATATTCCTCCACGTCTTTATCCAGGACTCCATTTGTCTTTCTCAAGAACCCCAATTTTCCCAACCTCACCGAGAATGTCGTGCACCACCACCTCAACAAGGAGGACTTTATGATGTAATGTCACCTGACACCACTCTCAATAGATTTTGAATATAAGATGAATCATTTAAAAAAAAAAGGCTACATACATAGGTAATGGGTGAGTTTCTTAGTCTGATGTTCTCATAGGTTTTGTAAATAGTTTTTTTTTTATGGCAGACACGCTGTGTCTGTTTATGTATAAAAATAATGCTATTATGATTTGGATATATACATAGTTTACAATTTTACTATCCTTTATTATTTATGTTTTTATGTAAATTAGTTAAAGAGTTGTTGAATGTAAGACAGACAAAGAAAGCCAAACACCCAGAGACTAACAGACAGAAGCTATGGAGGCCTGATATTCCTCCACGTCTTTATCCAGGACTCCATTTGTCTTTCTCAAGAACCCCAATTTTCCCAACCTCACCGAGGATGTCGTGCACCACCACCTCAACAAGGCGGACTTTATGCTGTAATGTCACCTGACACCGTGCATTCCATGTGAAGCATCGGACAACTGTACTAACTAAAAATGTGTCCAAATCAAAATCCCTGTGAGTCGTGAATGCCCCATACACCCAAACAGCATAACTTATATGGTAAAAGAAGGGAACACCCAGAGTCCCCACTACCCTTTTGTAGACCTCTATATTAAAGGGGCAATGAAGTAAAAAGTGGTCCATGGACTCCACTTTACACGCACACTTTTCTCTAGGACAATCTCTCTCATTCAAACAGTGGTACTTCAAATTGCCTCTTAGTTAGATAGCGGTAACAGCTGGATAGAATAGCACTAGGCTCTGAATAGCACATACCACTCAAACTTCTCCTCAGGACTGGAAACAGAGTGACAGAGGAGGAGGTTCCTGTATCTTTGCTCAGTGCCTTTCGAGAAAAAGGCCTTTAGCACCAGGTCTGACAGGGTGCTAAATCAAGGGTACTTTGCACAATACTTATCTCGTGATAAAGCTGTTCTCTACTTTTCTCCCTTTATTAAACAGGTACATTCCCATTACTTTCTATGTACTTATCACCAGGATGAGAAGAGGTGAGATATTTATGTTCCTACCTGACTTATCACGGGTTATTAAACAGCATTTTCTATACTTTTCACTTTGCTAAGGTGAGAAAAGCCTTCTCACTGCTTATCTCACTCTTTCACAGTTTATTAAACGTACACTATAGTCTCCCAAGAAATCTAAGCCAGACCAGATCCCTACATTTTAAGGGTGTCCTCTCTAAATTAATCAAACCTAAACCCTCCCTCAGTACAGGGCCCGGGCAATCCTTTAAGGCCAGTGGCTCACAAAAGAGAGTCCACAATTCTCCTCTTAAGGAGTTTCCTTGGAAGAGACCTTATATCCTGCCCCTGCCTAAGTATTTTCAGGCACATGGCAAAGTAAGGCAGGAGCACACCATGTCGTACCCTCAGGCTTGAGGACCTGTCACTGCAAATTGGCTATCACATAGGGAGCTTGTTTATTATCCCTATATGATAGCAATAGAGTTCAGTGGGGAAAAAAAAAGGTTTTAAAAAATTTGTTACAAAAAAAGTTAAAAAAATTACAAATCACATATCAAAGCAATAAAAAAAAAATGAAAGTCCCCCGCCCCCACAAACATGCGTTAAATCCGCCTACGTGCGAAAATGCCGATTATATCCATTGCGCCACACATGTTACATATCGCCGCGAACGTCGGAATGAAAGCAATAATTCTAGGGTAAAAGCTTTTAATTTTGTGTATGGTAGTTTTTTTGCGATTTAACGGGTGCGCGCAATTTTAAAGCTTGACATGTTTGGTGTCTATTTACCCGACGTGACCCCGTCTTTTATATTTTACCAAAAAATTGGGTAATAATAAATGTTTTATAACATAACGTAGGGAGAACATTTTTTTTTTCAACATTTTCGGTACTTTTTTTATTATACAGTAAAAAAATAACCTGTAGTGGTGATTAAATACCACCAAAAGAAAGTTCTATCTGTCCCCAAAAAATGGTATAAAATAAATTTTAGTACAGCGTTGCATGACGGAATAAATGTCAGTCAAAGTACCGCAGCGCTGAATACTGAAAAATGGCCTGGTCAGGAAGGGGGTCCAAACACCCCGGCCAGCAAGTGGTTAATATTGAACTATTTATGTTTTCTTGATTGTTGAGATATGGTTTATTGAGTCCAACAAACAGGTTAGTGTGTGCTTTCTGGTTTATAGTTTTTATACCCTGGACTATGAACCATATAAAGCTTAATTATAGTAAGCTTTGAGTCAATGCAGAAAGAACATTTTTAGTTCAAGCCCATATTCCCATCTGTACGGGATGGGTGGGTCTGGAAAGGGGCCCTGCTCTCAAACCTCTCACCAGCCCAGTAGTTATGTGGAATCACTACCCTACCCCAAGTCACCTTGTAAATAGGCCTACTGTATGAACCTCTATGCTACTAAAAGTTAAAAACCAAGACAAACAAAAGACATTTTATTTTTTATTTTACAGTTCTGGGTGGAATTAAATACTGCTAGACTTGCAAATGCAAACTTAGTTGATCAGATCATGAGATCAGGCTGACACGTTGTCAAGGGACTGGATGTTTTTAAACTGATGTCACCTGCATACAGTACCAGTGCAAAATAACAATCTAAGGCTACATTCAAACATCAGTGTTCAAGAGGTTTTACATGTGAAAGGTGTATTTTTCTAGATGCATCTACATAAAAAAAGTGCAACACATGTACAGTTTTTAATGTACCACACCAAAATGCAGAGCTGTGAATGTAGAATAAATCCAAGCAAACAGTGATTTCGTTCTCAGTAAAAAAATACTTTAAAAGAAATATATTTGTTATAAGTTCTTATCCCAGGGAAACTTTACTTTGAGGTCCTGCATTTTCATCTTGTAGATCTTGTCAAAAGATTCATTTAAAGCTACGGAGAAATGATTCTTCCAGTCGCCAGCCACTCCTGTAGGGAGAAGGAAAGAAGCAAAACTAACAATGAGGACAAATTGTACCCTGTTTATGACCTCAGCCCTCATTCACATTTGAGCAGGACCTTTTTCAGGGGATTTTGAAACATTTTTGTTTCAGCTAATGGAAAGCCAATTTTTAGGAGGAGGAGATGTTGTCAGGTGTGAAATTTTATGAAAAACATGCTATTGCACATTTTTCACGCATTACCATTAAAGTCTTTAGGGCCAAAAGCGCAAGATTCTGCATGAAAAAAGCTCGAGTAACAAAGTGCTCAATGAGCACCATTGAAAATAATTCCTCATGATTCTTCATGTTGAGCGTTTTCACACTTTGGGAACTGTGTGGCAAAATGCCCAATTGTGAATGGAGGCTAATTTCAACCCTGATTTCAGAAGAACAAGACAAGCTAGTATATGCAAAAAGCAATTGAAAGCACATCTTTCACATGGATTTAATGGAAAATTATGATTTTTGGCATTTTTCTTTTGTTAAAGTTTATAACAAACTAAAAGTGTGTAATATATATATTGTTTTCAATTTCTTAGCAGAAAGCCGAAAACAAAATATTTGCTTAGAGAAAGCCTCTCTCTATTCCAACTAGCAGGGTGATCAAATGCTTAGAATGAGAAAGGAGGAACAGGAGAAGTGAATGACAGGCCAAATGATGATAGTGGCGATTGATGTGGTGGCTGGGAGGATGGCAAGGCTGACAGACACATCTTCCATACCATTCCAAGGTTTAAAGGAGTATTTGGACTTTTGATTTTATGGCTGTGAGGTTGTCAAGATGTATATCTGGTTTAAAAGTAATAACTACAAGAGATACTGGGGGCTGGGAAAGTAAGAAGCATGAAGCAGGAGTTGACAGATGATACATTCTCTGTGCCCAGCCAGGTACAATGAGTCCTGGAGAAGCAAACTGCAAGATATTACAACATTGAGACCTATGAGTGACAGCTCATCATAAAATCTGCTTTCTCAATTAGATGTCCTCCTTCAACATATACTGTATATCTACCTATGTGCCTTATAGTTGGTAGTGTATGAAGAAAGAGTCTGTACACTTAGTTGACTAAGCTCGTAAGGGGAAACATGTAAGAAGTGGGCTGCTGCAGCTGGGCAGGGATTCTTATCACGATAGATGCTGGACGTTTATGGATTTAAGCTTGCAAATGGTAAACAGCAGTGTGCGGACTCTTTCTTCATACAATGGCATTTAGACCATGGACGGCTCCTGGCTGACCCCAGCATACACTCAGATGGTGGAGATCGAAGGTGGATGGAGCAGTGAGGTTCTCTGCTGTTTCCTCATAGTTGGCAATTTTCCATTTTCTTCAATGGCAGTCCCACGTTAGACCCAAAAAATAATTTTTACTTATTATCACACTCAAAGTTTAGGGATGGTGTTTTTTCTTCTACACACTACCCAGCTCTGTATACCAACTTGTGTGTCATAAAGTATACACGGCTCTATGCTGTTCATCATGTTGAACATTTACAGGGTTATTCACAAAAGGGTGAAGAGTTTGGAGAAGGCAGGAGAAGTGAACAATCTAGGACAACATAGCTGATTTGGAAAAATTTTCCAATTCCGCTCACTTTCCAGTTCAGCTATGTTGTCTTAGATTGTTCACTTCTCCTGCCTTCTCCAAACTCTTCACCATTTTGTGAATAACCCTTGTTAGTATTCCACACAGCTCTCCTCCTAACATTGTGATGTATGTTTTATACTCCATACAGCTTCACTCAGTACATTGTTATATTTGTTCAATACTTTATAAAGCTCCAATCTACACACTGCACTGTACATTTTATACTCTACACATTTTCACTCTGTACGCTGTGCTTTGCATTTAATATTCCACGCAGTCCCACTCGTAGCAATGTCTTGTATGTTCTTTACTCTGTTTACTGTGCAATATCAGGTGTTGCAGGTGTGTGTGTGAACAATGTTGTTCTGGTTTTATATTGGAGGGCAATAGGGTGGGGTATGCACAGTGTATACAAATACATTTTTCTGCATGTGATATTCAATAAATAAATTAGTATTTTTGTAAATGTGCGTGTGTGAGTCTTCTTGTGGTACTCAGGTCCATATATAAAGCATCTCTCTCTCTCTCTTTTTTTTTTTCAAAGTACTGCGTCATACTGTTACATAACAGCATGTGTAGCTTTATGGCATCCATGAGGCATTCGAAAAAATCCAAATGCTTTGCTGCAGATTCAGTATCTGTGCACACCCAGCTATAGGTACTGTTTCCTTTTTTCTTTTTCTAGACTTTAGCTCTCTTTTGGGTCACAGGAGTACATATACTAATTGCCTTCCCCTCCCCTGCCTGTTCCTCCAGTGAGCACTGAAGGAATAGAGAGAGAGGGGTAAATTCCTGCGGGAGTGATGAATGACAGTCTCTCTTGCTCACTTCTTAATCTATAGAGCCTGCATGTGACAACTGCAGTATATTTTACTCTCCCAATACTTCTCCTTAAATAACGATACTTTTCCTCAATTACTCACCGATACCAATAACTGATACCTTTTTAAAGTGTCATGTGACAGTTTTTCTAAAACAATACAGACTAATAATTTTTGGACAGTGTTGGCATGCCAGGGCCCAGTCGCAGCTGCAACCGCTGTAGAGGGACTACAAATCCCAGCAATACATTATACAGAAATGCAGAATACCACCAGCGATAGAAGACTACAGATCCCAGTAATACATTATATAGAAATGCAGAATACCACCAGCGATAGAAGACTACAGATCCCAGCAATACATTACACAGCAATGTAAAACACCACCAGCGATAGAAGACTACAGATCCCAATAATACATTATATAGAAATGCAGAATACCACCAGCGATAGAAGACTACAGATCCCAGCAATACATTACACAGCAATGTAAAACACCACCAGTGATAGAGGACTACAGATCCCGGCAACACATTATACAACATTGTAGAATACCATCAGCTATAGAGGACTACAAATCTCAGCAATTCATTATACAGCAATGCAGATTAATATGAAGCTGCATACTCTATGTTGCTCACCAAGCTGTGTGGAGTCTTACCAAGGCTGTGCAGGGTCTCAGTAGACTGGGTGGGGGTCTCACCAGGGCTTTGTGGGGTCCCAGGAGATTTTTCAGGGTCTCACTGTGGCTGTGCAGGGTCTCACAGGGATCTGTGGGGTCTTACCAGGGTTGTGCGGGGTCTCAGGAGGATGTGCGGGGTCTCACCAGGATTGCGTGGGGGTCTAAGCAGGGCTGTACAGGTGGGTGCGGTGACTCTAGGGCTACGTGTGGGTCTCACCAGGGCTAAATGCGGGTTTCACCAGGGTTGTGTGTGGGTCTCACCAGGGCTGTGCAGTCTCCCCAGGGCTGCGTGGGGTCTCACTAAGGGCTGTGTGCTCTCACCAGGGCTGTACAGTCTCACCAAAGCTGTGTGGTCTCACCAGGGCTGAATGCAGGTCTCACCATGGCTGTGCGGTGTCACCAGGGCTGCGTGCAGGGCTCACTATGGCTGTGCGGTGTCACCAGGGCTGCATGCGGGTCTCAGCATGGCTGTGTGGTGTCACCAGGGCTGCGTGCAGGTCTCTCCATGGCTGTGCGGTGTCACCAAGGCTGTGCGGTGTTACCAGGGTTGTGTGCAGGTCTCAGCATAGCTGTGCAGTGTCAAGAGGGCTGAGCAGTGTCACCAGGGCTGCGTGTGAGTCTCACTATGGCTGTGCAGTGTTGACATGGCTGTGCAGTGTCACCAGGGCTGCGTGGGTGTCTCAGCAGGGCTGTGCGGATGGGTATGGTATCAACCCGGTTGTACGCTTTTCTTAGCAGGGCTTTGCAAGTGGGTGCGGTTTCACCATGGCTGGGCTTGGTCTCCCCATGGTTGTTCGGTCGGGTGCGCATGGCAGGAAGAAGGAGGAGGCACCGGACCAGTACTGTAAAAAGACAGGCGTTGCAATGTCCCCAGCAGGCTGCCCTGATGTCCCCAGCAAGTGCAGGACATTAGGGCAGCTGAACCTGTTTAAAAATGTAAAGGGCCAGTATTTGCCTTTAGTATTGGAGCATTTTCAGGAGTACAAGTACTCCCGAAAATGACCAGTATCGGCACCGATACCGATACTGGTATCGGTGCATCCCTACTTCTCCTTTAATGGAAGAGACCAGTGTGTGGCCCTACACCATAAATTTGACATAACTACTTGAATACACATATATAAGAAGGAAATCTAGCATTTTAACCTTTTATTTATCACACAAACAAGATTATTACTTTCTCACCTTTCCTCATGAATGGGCTTTTCATTTGGTCCATGAACTCACTGGGCACCAAACTGAAATTGGACATTTGGTTCTCTTTCATGCTCTGGAATGAAACATTTTCAACCACAGAATCCACAGCTTTGTCATCTAACTCCTTTCCCAAAAATGTACAGATCTTTATTACACTTCCCCGCAGGTCCTATGACAGGTGGAGTATGCAAAACAAAACAAAAACTGTCATCAATATATTGGCATATTTCTGTTAACCCGTTCATGACAGAAGGTAAAACACCTTAACACTCAAACCCAGTTTTGTAACTTGTGTATTTTTCATCTCAATATTTCTTTATTAAAGTCAAGTCATGTAATACAGCACGATGACATTTGGTAATAAAAATACTCACAGGTGTATGAAACATTAACCAGTCAGTAGTGTTAACAGTAAAAGAAACATACATAGATTATTATGCCGTATCAAGCTAAGTATTCAATACGTATTTCTTTCTAATAAACTTGGAAGGGGGAAACATGAGGGGGGTAGAGGGGAGAGAAGACAAAGAGGGGTAAAGTAAAGTATGTACCAGTTGTGTACTTTCAAATAGAGGAAATCAGACATTGCAATAGGGGTGTATAATCCATTTTTTCCATGCCGAAAAGAATGCAGGATAAGTGTTACTCTTCATTGCAAACATTTTCTCATAGGAGTATTGGGTATTAATCAGCATAATCAGGTCTCTGATGTTTGGGGGAGTTGGTTGTAACCATCTCCGTGTAATTAACAATTTGGCTGCATATAGGATATGTATGATGATAGTGCGAATATCAGGTAGGAAATTATCAATGTCGATATGTAGGATGGCGTGTTCTGGACATGGGGAGATAGGCGATGGGGTAAAATGTGAGATTATACGAAAGACTTCGTTCCAAAACCCACTGAGGGACCTACAATGCCAAAGAGTGACCCAATGCTTCCACATAGTCTCCAGCAGAGCGGAGAGTTGGAGTTAGAGAATTTCGACAGTTTGTATGGAGTGTGGTACCACCTATGTACCGTTTTTTGTAGAAGTTCCCAGTGTTGTGAGATGTATACCTAGATAAGGAATACATGTGTCCGCCCATGGATAAGGGAATGTAGATTGTAAAGTTAGTTTCAGAGAGGGGGGTATGTTGAGGCCTAGGATTTGGGAATTTGTGTAATTAACTTTGTAGTAGGAGACTTTGCTGAATTGGTCTAGGAGAAGTTGTACAGCGGGGAGAGAACATAGTGGACGTGAGAGGACAAGAACTATATCGTCTGCGAAGAGACCTATCTTGTTGTTGGTAGGACCTACTGCAACACCATGGATGTGGGGATGTGAGCGCACAAGGGTTGCAAGCGGTTCCATTATGAGGACGAATATTATCGGTGAAAGGGGGCAACCTTGTCGAGTGCCATTTGATATTAATAGGTCATTTGAGAGGAAACCTGAGGTAAGTACCTTCGCACTAGGCGTGGAGTATAAAGCTAAAATAGCGTTCAATATGGGACCTATAGAGCCAAACTTAATTAAAACCGATTTCAGGAAGTTCCAATTTATTCTGTCGAATGCTTTTTCGGCATCTAGGGAGAGGAAGAGGGAGGGAACTTTGTTGAGTTCTGTGTGTTTTAAGACATTTAGTAAACGTCTGGTGCCGTCAGGGGCCTGTCGTCCGTGCACAACTTGTGTATTTTTAATAAAACTGTACATGCCTTTGGAACTACTTAGTGTATTATACTATTATACTTAGTGTACTATAGTGCAGGTGAATTATACCTTGTTTTTCAGGATAAATTTGTCCTTTACTTGGTAGCAAATGTTAATGGATATTTCTTGGAATTTTTTTTATAAAACTGGCCCAAAGTAGTAAAAATATAATATATTTTTAAACGGACTGTAGCTGTGTATTTCAATATATTCCAATATATTCCATATAATAATGTGTTGCAATAAATGATGGCGGTAGCACATATGTGTGCATTATATGTTATTTGTAGCTGTAGTCTAGCAGGTGCACATTTTGCTTATCCTACCTAAAATACACAATCACACCGATACCGACACTGATGATTTAATGACAAATCTCCTACTGGGTCCTTTGTATATTGAGCATCATCATTCTCTGCAGGGCTGGGCTACAGGCATGCCAATAAAACAGGCAAGGATGCCTGACCACATTACCCTGGATATGCATCTGTGGTTTGCGCAATCAGATCTGAATTGGAAGAATTGAGGACACTGGCAGGATCACCAGGTATTTAACCCTTTCACCACCAGAGCGTTTTATGGGTAATTTTGCACACATGCTATGATTTACATTTTAGGCCTGAAAATTGCAGTACTTAACCCCCTAGAATTATATATTTCTTGAAAGCACAGACCCTGTAGAATAAAATGGTGGCAGTTGCATATTAGTGTAATTAAAAATTTAAGTAAAAAAAACATAAGTTAAATGTAGTGCGCAAAAACACAATATAATAACAATTAATTTTTGTAAAATATAAAAGATGAGGTTGCAAGAGTAAATAGATATCCAACATGCCAAGCTTAAAAACTATGTGTGCCTATGAAACCGACAAAATACGGTACCTCAAATTGTCCATAGGCCCCACTCTAAAAGACTGTGCAGGTCATCAGTTTAGAGTCATCCATGAATATTGGTTATAGAATTATTGCTCTCTGTCTGGCACATGTGGCAATACCTAACGTGTGTGTTGCAATAGTAATTTTTATATGCAGGTGCACCTGACTCACAAGCCCCCTATGTGATAGCACTTTGGAAGTGACAGGTACTCTTTAAGGTGACATCAAGGGTCAATTAGACACTTAATGTCACCTATGCACTTCAAAGAAGCTGATGAAGCACAGGCCATGATCGATCAGCTTCTTCCCTGGCTTCTCTAGCCGGAAGACATGCAATCAGTGTCGCTTCCGGCTTTATTTAGTGAGAAGGGGATCAGTGAACTGATGTTTGCTGGTCTCCCTCCCTGCTACTCTCCGACACCTATGATGCCGGTCCTGGGCCTGCAGGAGGGTCAGTGGAGCCCCGGAAGCAAGGTGGGGGCGGGGGGCTCCATTTACAGTGGCACACAGCAAGCACCGTAAGGCAGTGAAACTGTCAAAAGGTCCTGCACCAAATTCAAAAAAGCCTGGTTGCCAGTTTCGGTAGCTTTACCAACACTTGCCATATATTCAGGCTGTCACTATGGTTATGGCAGATTCAAAACGATTTAAAGCCAGTTAACAGATTACAAAACTGGCAATAATTAACACCAAATCTGAGCTGGTGTGCAGAGAGACAGTAGTGCCTAGAGTGGGGCATGTAATTGGGAAGCTGTAATGCATCTGACAGCTTCCTGCTGAGGGTTCATTGGTTGGTGGAACATCGCCAGCCATGGTCATGACTGAGTATTGATGTCAGCCAGCATACCCATTTCAGTTGTCGACCAGGCAATCTCATGGACGGCAACTGAATGGGGCCAAGGAGAAGTCTTTGGTTAACAGGAGGCTGTCGGCTGCACAACAACAGCTTCCTAGCAACGAATGAGGCTGATAGCGGGCAGAGCCTGATGGGGAACTAAGGGACTAGTTCCCCATCAGGCCTGCTCCCCTGGTGATTGACAGCAGGCAGTGGGCAGATTCCATAACTAATAGCCTGCTATTGGCCATGCAATCCACTCACTGCCTGCTGTTCACTTCTAGCAAAGTGGCCTGATGGAAAATTAGTCTCTTTGAATCCCTATCAGGCTCTGCCCACTGTCAGCATCAGTGGTTGTTAAGGATGCTGATAGCTGTGTAGTGGACAGTGTCTTTAACAACCAGTGACAATGGCAATGGAAAATGTTTTTAAATATATGTTTTTTTTAATATATGTATTCTATTAACACACTCAAGCAATACATAATACTTTTTTCCTATTATTTGTGTAAACATACTTCAATTTTTTAATGCTTACCACCGCCAGCCGCAGTTTTCACAGCGCCATTTCCAATATTCTGGGTAGGGGAGCATGTGATCTTTGCGCTTCACTGCACTAGTTCAGTTCCTTTGCTTTTTCTGTTACCAATCAGTTTCAAACTGCAAAGTCAGGCTGACATTTGATTGGCATCTTTGAGGAAGTGACATTTTTACATAAAGTTTTTCTCTATGCGAGAGACAGAAAACCTTCAGATGGTGTGTCTGAGAATACCTATGCTGAATGCCTATCCACAAAGGCCTGAGCAGGAGGTCCCCTTTATGCATTTAAAGGCTCTATTTTCCACTTTGTCTGGGGTACTTCTTTAGTAGTACTGGTTGGCAGGTACATTAGCAGTTCCTATAAGCAGAGCAACACAATGTAGAAGCTTTCGATGGCAATACACCATATTCCCCAGCCTTTTTGGACTGACTTTTTTTTGTATTTTTTCCACATATTTTATGACTTTTACATAAATAAACTACTTACTGTTTGGAGATCCTCATAGGTCTGTATCATGAAATTATCCTTTCCAAACATCTCCATCCAACCCTTCACATGTTCAAACCAAGATCCATAGGGTACTGAAAGCATACAATACATAAAAAAATTTGTATTTAAAATGAAACTACTAAACTGTTTAGAAATCAACATCATACTTGTAAATCATTTTAACTACCAAAAAATATTTAATATTTTTTCACGGTGTCTTGTGATTTACACACTCCTGTTCACTATATAGGTGAAGAGTGATACCGGTAATTAAATAGTGAAACTCTGCACCTTCTTGTGTCACCTCTTTCTGTTTGTCAGATGTAGAATGAGTAGCACCACACTATAAAGATCCCCTTGTGCTGTTTCCTTCCTGTAAAGTCACATAATCTCCTAAGGGGTCATTTATTAAAACAATGCAAGAAGAAAATTACTAACCAAAATAAACGTTAACACTGGTCAACAAATCAAATTCTATATTATATTGGCTCGACTTCAGTATTGTTAAGCTAATAAAGATAGTCCTGGAGCAAAATAAAATAAAAAAATAGGCAGAAGGACTACATGACAGGGTGGACATATATTGATTGTTGTGTTATTTATACACACCCTGTTTGACTTGAAATTTGTTTTTAACAAAAGGCTGCTACAGCAATTTAACTCCAATCTCAGGTGTGGTGTCTTAATTGGGAGGTGGGGATTATTGGAGGGTGGTGGCATAGCAGTGTGGGAGTTTTGGTGTAAAATTTTTATGGGACTATGTTCTACCTTGTCATGAGTTTACCGTGAATTATACACCAAATTGGTGTAAAACTGAGCTAAAGGCCATTTTTTAATTTCCTGGACTTTTGAATTCATTTAGGACCTGTTCACAGTAAGCTGCGGTGGGCTCTGCTTGGTCTCGGGTAGACTGGTCACACCCCTGCACACCTCTTACCTGGCAGCCTCGATCCACTATCAGCCTTCTCCAACGCCTGGCCCCACCTCCTTCTCAGTTGCCAACGCCAGGCCCCAGGCTCCTCCACCGCAGCTACTGGCTGTCACTGGCTCAGCAGCGGATGTGAAGAGGAATGCGCTGATGCACAGATCACTGACAGATTGTCAGTGATCTGGTCAGTGGCACTTTCCTTCTCACAGGCACCAGTGACAGCCAGCAGCCTGTGACGCCAGGGCGACCCAGGCGGCCTGCACGGCATCAGGGGCTACCCCTTTGTTCTTCATCTTGGCCAGCCCCCCTGTGCCCCATAGAGGCTGCCTGGGTCGCTATGGTAAGTTCCACAACTGGTGCTGGAGTAAAACATGTGCCACAGTGTGCTTTACTGTGCCTTGAGGCACACTGCATAACCACAAATATACATTTTTAATGGGTCCTAATATATTAAACAAATCACATCTGCATAATAACCACAGTGCACTGCAAGACATACCATGCATTGTGGTGCATTGATGTGCCATTCAAAATGAAGAACAACACATAAACATCCTGCTTTGCAGTGAACTGCACTGCAATGTACTGTATTGCACTGTGAATGTGCTTTAAATATTTATGTTTAAATGGATTTCAAATGTACTTACTTTCTTCTGTTAAAAATACTTTAACGAACTGATCAAAATCTCCAGGATCGTCGAAAAATGAGCTCATTTTGGAAAAATAGTAGAGGGAGACAGCAACATCCTTGGGATTTCTGATTGTATATATAACCTGAAATTACATTTGCATTAAAAAAAAAATTAAATATGACTAGTGTCTAATTTGCCACAAAGCTTTGTACTCTAGCTGAATACTTTCTTATAGGATACCTCTTGTATTCAGCTCAGTCTAACTAAGACCTTTAATGCAATGAAAGTGCCAGCAACTTAGTGCACAATGGTTTTAATGATTGGGGAGTGTACTGCTATGGTTGAGGTTCTCACCCGCTGCTACCATGGGTTCATGGGTTCATCCCCGGGAGTTGAGAAGTTCGCAAAAAGGAAGTAGCCTGTGATGCTTAGACTTAACCCTGGTCATCTGAGTCACAAGATGAATATGAAGGAATCGATAACACAGCCCACTTTCTATAAAAGACTCACAGCTGCCATATTGTCAATGTGTGCTTGAGCTGTTAAATAGAGCTGACAACTAGGGGGAGATACTGGAGTCATTTATCAATTTGGTTGCATTATAAGTCTTTTAACCACTAAAAGACCAGAGTGTTAAACCCCCTTCCTGGCCCGGGTTATTTTTCAGTATTCAGCGCTGCAGTACTTTGACTGACGTTTATTCCGTCATGCAACGCTGTACTGAAATTAATTGTATGCCATTTTTTGGGGACAGATAGAGCTTTCTTTTGGTGGTATTTAATCACCATTGGGGTTTTTATTTTTTACTATATAACAAAAAAGTACCCTAAATTTTGGGGGAAAAAACCTGTTTCCCTATGAAATGTTATGAAACATTTATTATCACCCCAATTTTTTGGTACAATATAAAAAATAGACACCAAACATGCCAAGCCACAGAAAACTACCACACCCAAAATTGGCCATAGGCGACGCTCTAAAAGCTTTTACCGCTCATCAGTATAGTGTTATCAGTGATTAATGGCCCTAAAATTATTGCTCTCACTCCGACGTTTGCGGCAATATGTAACATGTGCGGCACAATAGGCGGAATCGTCGTTTTCGCACGTAAGCGCACCCGACGCATGTTTCCATGCGCATGTGCGGGGGACTAAAAACATTTTGTGTTAGTTTACATTTTTTTTATTGTGACTTTTTTTATGCTTTGATTTTTTTTTAAACTTTTTTTTTTTTACACCTAACTTTATTGCTATGACATAGGGGGCTAATAAACTCTCTATGTGATAACCAATTCACGTGACAGGTCCTCTTTATGGAGACATCAGGGGTCTTCAAGACACCCACATCTACTACATGCGATCAGGCGATCACTTGAATGTAAACAGCCATCGCTGGCTATTTGCACTTCTGACAGTTTCCCCACTCGTGTGCGCTCTGGGCGCCGCACAAGAGCGGGGGGGAGTGGAAGGACGTCTAAAGACGGGAAGTGGTTAAACTGTCACATCCCTGATTTCTAGTGTGTATAGTTAGTGACAGATTTATTATTCTCATTTATGTTTTATTCCTAAATGCCTTTGTAAGAACAAGTATCTCCAAATTGTTGCAAACTTGTGGGGAGCCTCCTAGAGGACAGCTTTATAGCCCCGAAGTGCTTAGCTGACCTAAGGGAATGAAGTTGCTTTATCTTTGAGCTACTGTAAGAAGTGCTCAGAAGTGCTCTGGAATATGTGACAATTTGGAGGTCTTTTAATGTCGCAAATGCTGGACGCAATTATTGTGCAGTTGAGAAATTTTGTAAAATATCGCAAAACGTGTGCAGTGAGTCACGTTGCAAGGACACTTCAAAAAGACGCATAACAGAGGTAAAACTTTACGTTTAGTTAGTATGAGATTTTGGTCTTTGCAACTAAAAATGTTGTCGCAAATACATTAAAAAATTCCCCTTACTGTTTTTTTCAAAAACAAATTTCAGCATTGGTGTATTTTCCCCATGGCAGTAACCAACAGCTCACTTATTAGGCCTCGTTCACACCATATGCAGTGCGTACCGGCCCGATTCTGGCCGGGACGCACTGCATCGCATTGTGGCCTGCTCACTTTTTTGCTGGGCTGGAGGGGGCGTGGCGGGCCATTGAAGGGAATGACACCGTAGCCACACCCCCCGGCTGCAATGAGATCGCCCCAACGGGATCGCAAGGCACATTGTGCCTGCAGTCTGGTCCGGTGCGGTGTGATCAAAATAGTGCTTGCAGCATTTTGATCGCACCGGACTGGACTGCAGGCATAATGTGCCTTGCAATCCCTCCTGCCCGACAAAAAAGTGAGCCTCGTCTTGCCCGACAAAAAAGTGAGCCGGCCGCAACGCGAGGCAGTGCGTTCCGGCCAGAATCGAGCCGGAACGCACTGCATATGGTGTGAACGAGGCATAGTCCTACAAATAGGCAGATTTAAATAATAAGCTTTGCCTCTATTGACTTTAATAGGGTTCGCCGCAAAGTTTATAAACTTTAAGCTTCGTGTAAGGCAGATTTGCTTATCATTACTCACTGCATTCGCTTGATAAATCAGTCAGCTAGAACAGCCTTTACCAACCAGGGTGCCTTCTGGCTTTCATTGCCTTTCCATGCCTTTTCATGGTGCAGGTGGCCTGGGTGCTAATTCAGGGATGGTGGGATCCATTCAGAAAAAGAATAAAAGTAACCTCTGTCCAGACCTGCTCACGCCCTCTGCATGAAGGGGGGCTCCTGATGTCAAGAGGGACTCTTATGTGAAAGGGGGACTTCTGATGTGATTGGGGGCTCCTGATTTCAATAGGGGACTCTGATGTGAAGGCTGGAGCCTTACTTTTTGTGGGTTTTTTTGTGGGCTCACCCCTTAAAATCCATTTCAGAACCTGTCTTGCATTAGGGTCAGGTATGGATTTTGGAGGGGCCACACATTTTTTTCACATTAACATTTTTGACATGTTAGATTGGGGTACCTCGAGATATTTGGTCTGACTGATGAAATAGCAAGCGTGGTTGAAGCAGGTCTGGTAGTTTTGGGCTCTATATAATCTCCCAGCCTGTTCAGGACATTTGCTAAATCCTGGAACCAAGTTCATTGCATGTCAGAACATGTTAGACTGGAGAGCCTGAATGACCAGTCTGTTGAAATACAGCCCATATGTGGTCAGACACAGCCTGTGTGGCAAGGACCTTAATGGCAGAGAGTTGGGCGCCTGGGCAGCAAAGGCTGCAAGTCTGTTAGCCAGGGACCTGTATGTTAGTAAGCGGTCAAGTGGCAAGGTTTCATTTTATTGTTTTCTGCTCCTGTACATACAGTAGTGTATAGACATTGAGAAATAGATTGAATGTGTGTTTCACTGAAATCTGCTGTTTGCTGTGTCTGACCAAAGTCTTGTGAACTCATCCAGGGAGTAGAGAAGAAACAAAACATCACAAGCACACAGCAGTTAAGTTTCCAAAAGCACATATTCTTTTATTGATGCATATTGTCACATGTAAAGTGCATGGGGGGCGGGAGACAGAGCGGCATGGCCACTCTGCTGTACAATGTTTTCAGTGTGCCCGCCACCCCCTTTCTGACCAGAGCTTCCCAGCATGCTGGTGGCTGTGTGGGGAAATGTGTAAAGGCCAGGAGCTGAGCGAGATGCTCTGGCCAGTGTCCTGCCCCCCTGGTGCACCACCAGCACAAACCCCACTGCCTTAGAGGTGGTGCAAGTTCATTTGTTTTTACACTATACAATTAAATAAAGCAAGTACAAATCTGTTTGAGTAGTGCATAATGAGCATATTGCTTGCCATTTACTAAGCTGAATAGTTGAATAATTCCTGAAGTCATTGGTTAATACTTTGTTATACACACAATGAACATTAAATACATATTGATAGGTAATGTTCTGATATGTTAACATCAAGCATGTGCAGATGTATTGCAACTTCATTTTCAAAGTGGGTAACTAATTAAACTACCTATATTGATAACAAAATCTGACCAGTCTCAACATTTGGAACTTTTGCTGAACTTTCAGCTCATGTGCAGGAGAAATAGCATAGTCACACAAGAACACCAATAGATCCCTCTTACAGCTGCACCTATCCCAGCTACTCAGTTTTCAAGTGTCAGCCAAATGTCCAGAACAAAGCACCGGATGATCATCAGCAGCCCATGTTTACTTAACTTATCTAGCCATTGTGCGCATTGGCAGTTTTGATACATGTTTTTGATCATTGGCCGTGTTCATATGTAATGATACTGTGCCCACTAGGCAATGGTGAATATTAAAAACGACCAAAGGTCTGAGGAGAAGCCACATTCAAAATGGATCTAAGCCTAAATTTCAGCTTTATGTGCTCAACTGTTCTCTAGGCTTGAAGTACATCCAACCCAAAAATAAAAGTAATATATATTTCAGCTAACCAATCCTTAAATGTGGTGGTTGCATTATTTTTCTTTCTTTTAGGATTTAATTCCTTCATTTTCTGCTCACTCATTGTAATGTATCTATGGTTGAACCACTCTAGGCTGCTCTCCTGATCTGGTCTACAAACACCTTCCCCTCTCCTCATCTCCATTATATAGAGGGGTGTTCACAGAAGATAGCTGAGAAAGCCGATAACATTGTTTGTGGCTTCATATTAGTCTAAAGGAATTTACAATGACACACGATTTCTGGCAAGATCTATGGTATTTTTCAGTACTTGCAGAAAATACACTTAATATTAAAAATCAACCAGCACATCTAAGGACTGGTAAGCAGCTCCTTAGCAAAGGTTGTGGCAAATGGATATGTGCAACTTTCTAAAGCATTTCGTTCTAAAGGGCAGGCAGGGCACTGGCAATATTGCAGTGGCCCTCCCACCATCGAGATAGCAGACTGTAACCCAATTTGTAATGCTTTCTGGGGGAAAAAAACATGACAACATAGTGGTGTGTGTGTGTGTGTGTGTATATATATATATATACACACACACACACACACACACACTGTATATATACCTTTTTCTTTTAGCAAGAATTGTTTATTGTTTTCTAGGCAATTTCTACATATGCTTACCTTAGCTTTTGAGCCAGTGAATGATTTTACAAAAAGGTGCCTTTGCAAATGAGTGGTTATAAGACGTGGCTTTTCCTCACTCACTTGCAGTTTCCTAGCAATACCATTGTTTTCTATCCAAGGTACTCTTTCCCAATTGGGAGCAGTTTTGTTCCATGTTGGGTCTCCATTCTTCTTGATCAGGCTTAAAATGTCTATTACCCACGTGGTTCCTACAAAACATTGGTATTAAAATGATGCAACATGCAAACATTTCTTTTTGATCAAAAGAACATATTAAAAATTAGCTATTAACAATTAATTTTGTTTGCCTACCTTAATATACACAGGAACAAAATGAAAATATATATATAGAAGAACCCAGGCTTGGTTTGATTGTGTTTTCCTGTATGTGCCCATTATTTGACTACTTGCAGGACAATTGCAGACAAGTGTTCTGAGGTTGAATTGATACAAATTAACACACAGACACAAGCAGATTGGATGCAAGGTAGCCAAGTGTTCAGAGGTGGATCTGATGCAGATTAATATGTTGACACAAGCAGAGGTGAAGCAAGCTGAGAGATATGTGGCATGGATGAATCTTTAATATAATTATAAGACACTAATTCCAATAGTTTTAATAAGATCATGTAGATGTTTTTTTTCCAAATTCAAGAATGAGTTCAACATTGTGCCAATACAATATTACAAACAAAGATACGAATTGTACCTCTTGCAGACCCTCATATGATCCAGACAGCCCCTCTGCAAAAGGATATGACCCAGGTTTTGGCTGTGAATATTTGTGTACACATTAATACCCCCATCTCCTGAAGAAAACACAAAGTCTTCAAAACACATTAAATGAAATATAGTTCCACCCATCTACACTTTAAGACTTTGATCAGATTGTGGTATTGTGTGGCAATCCCACGGTGGAATTTGGTGTCATTATCACCCAGGACTCTCAGCCAGAGGGTCAGAGAGGTATGAGGAAGCAAGGGTTTTTCTAGTTTCTGCTTGGGATCCAGGAACCAGGAGATTTCGAAGAAAGTTGGGAGGCATGAGATCTCCATTCCAGGGTCCATGTTTTGGTAGTAACCAGCACTTGATGATTGTCCGATCCAGTCAGAAAAAATAGTACTTGCAGCATTTTTTTCTGGCCGGACTGCAGGCATTGATGTGTCTTGCGTTCCCGTGTGGCCAATCGCATTGAGGCCAGAGAGCGTGGCTACGGTGCCATTGAGGTCTCCCCCTCCCGCCCCACAACAAAGTGAGCCAGCCGCAATACGATCCAGTGCTGGCCGGAAAACACTGTGTCTGGTGTAAACGGGCCCTTAAACTGCATCTTTTTCTCTCTCTCTGGTTTGCAGCTCTCTTGTTAGTGGGAGGGGTTTATTGACTCCAGGTGTCTCATTAAACAGGTGTAATACTGTATAAGCAAGTGCACTACTCACATTGAGCTTGCTCACACTGGGCTTGTGAACAAAGTGCTTTGATCTAAGTGGCATTAAAAAAAACTGCTGTTTAAATAATTGGAGTTTGAACTGTAAGTGCTATCTGTAAGTGACATTAAACTCTCAGCCCCCCCCCTTCCTAATGCTGCTGTAAGCACTTACCTCATTTGATGCCTCTTGTTGCAATCATCTTCTTCCTTCCACTCGTTTCCGACCATCCCTCTAGCGCTGGTGCCGGTGTCTGATCTATCCCCCTGTCCCGCGCTGTCTGTCTGGCCTGCACGCTCACGGCTGCGTCCATTCCTTTCATTGCGTTTCCTCCCCCTCTGTTCTACTATGCATATGCCCGCGCACCATGTCCTTCATGGCTGTTCGTGAGCCGGGAGTTCTCCTGCCGGGAGCGAGCGGCGCTGGAAAAGGTAAGTAATTAGGTATTTGCCTCACTTTGTATTTTTTTAAATCATGGGGCCTATATTTACTTCTTGCTAGCAGTAGATATATGCCAAAAAAACAAAAGACTTTAATTCTACTTTAATTTTTAACTTATATAAACATTGTAACTGTAATATTGTATGTTAGTATGGTTGAAGGGTCTGTTCAGTGCACACTGTGCCACATGTATACACAAATGGAGCCACAGGCAGGTTGAATACTGCTGTGACAGATGTGAACAGGTTGCCGTCCTGGAAGCTCACAGTAGAGGTGAAAGAGCGAATTGCAACACTGAGGAGGCTTGACAACCTTGAGAAGAGTCTTCTGCTCACTGAGCAGGCAGTTAATGGGGTTGATGTGGAGGGTGGAGGATGATCAGGTAGGAAGCTGGGTTACTGTAGCTAAAGGGAGTTGCAGGGGCTCACAGAAAAGGAAGGCCAGTCCTGTGCTTGAACACCCAAACAAATTTGCTAAGTTGGGTAAACATGTGCGGGTAGCAAACTCTGAGTTGGCAGCCCTAGATGCCACTGCTGCCTGTAACAGCCAGAAAAGCAGCCAATTTAGTCCGGGTGGGGAGGGTAATGCAGGAAGGCCTAAACAGGTTCTGTTTAATAGGGGATTCTATCATTCGGAGGACTTAGAATAATTTGTTGTCCAGATTACCTTGACCAGATGATTTGCAGTCTCCCTGGTGCCAGGGTTCGGCGTGTAGTGAACCGGGTGGACAAATTACTGGGAGGGGCTGGGCATGACCCAGCTGTCTTGGTCCATGTTGGGACCAATTACAGAATACATGAAAGATGGAGGATCATTAAAAATTAATTTAAAGAACTAGGTTGCAAGCTGAAGGGAAGCCCTCCAAGGTAATATTTTCTGGAATATTGCCTGTGCCATGCGCAGTACAGGAAAGACAGCAGGAGCTTCAAGAGTAAAACACATGGCTGAAGACCTGGTGAAAGAGGGAAGGATTTGGGTTTCTGGAGCAATGGGCTGACTTTTCATTGGGGGACAACCTATATGCTAAAGATGGTCTGCACCTAATTGGAAGGGGTTGTTGCTTTGCTAGGGGAGAGGTTCATGGGAGAGTTGGAGGATTATTTAAACTAGGATTGTGGTGGGAGGTAGAGTTAGAATATAATGGGGCAGATAAGTCAAACAGGGGTCAGACTATAAAGGAAGGTGGAACAGGGAAAGAAGGGGGGAAAGAAATCAAAATTGAAGTGAATAAGGAGACTCCCATGTTGCAAACAAACATTGGAGATTAAAGAACTAATTATACTACAAAAAAGTTACAGCTATTACAAGTGAAAAAATAAAAAATTGCTTGAACTGTTTGTTTGCCAATGCCAGAAGTCTGCATAGCAAAATGGGAGAATTGGAAGCTTTGGTGCATGAGGAGAACTATGATATAATTGGTATTGCTGAATCTTGGCTTGGTTCTTCACATGATTGGTGGCGGTGGCGGTGTTTGTCTCTATGTGACAGGTGATATAAAAGTAAGTGTGAAGGTGGACTTTGTTTATGGTGAGTGTGATGGTGCTGAGGCGTTATGGGTTGGAGTTGTATAGTGGTGTGCATAATGTAATGCAATAATGCAAAGGTAATTGTTGGAGTTTGTTACAGGCCCCCCAATGTTAATGAAGAGATAGAGACTCAGCTCCTTAAACAGATAGAAAGGGCTACAAGGGCGGGGACAGTAGTATTAATGGGAGATTTTAACTACACTGACATTGACTGGCATAATGGCACTGCTGGAACAGTAAAAGGCAGACATTTATAAACTTATTACACAACAATTGTATGGTACAGTTGGTAGAAGTCCCAACTAGAAATTATGCTCTGCTGGATCTGGTAATCTCAAACAATGCAGAGCATATTACAAATGTTCATATAAAAGAACATCCTGGGTATCATTGACCATATGATTTTATTGAACCTATTTTGTAAACAACATTCACATACTGGAAAAATAAAAACAAAACTTCAGGAGAGCAAAATTTCCCATGCTGAGGGCTGTTCTTCAAGACTTCCACTGGGAGGGAAAATTGTCAACAAAAAACACAGAACAACAGGTTGCAGAAGAGTGCGAGATTAACCCCAAAAATTATTTAAATGTATTATTAGTTTAAAAAATCAGGTCTGAGCATGTAGGCCCCTTACAACATAACTCATAGTTGGTAACTGGGGACAAATCTATTAAATACTTTCTTCAGCTCTGTGTACACCAAGGAACACCATGTAACTCAAGTCCATAGCCTCTAATGAACCACATTGGCTGACTATTGAGATGGTCAGAAACAGTTAGACAAAATTAAGGTGAACAAAGCACCTGGACCGGATGGCTTACACCCACGTGTCTTTAAATAATTGAGCTGTATAATTTCAAAGCCATTGTATCAAATTTTTAGAGACTCTCGAAAGACTGGCCTGTTACCAATGGATTGGCGCGAGGCCAATGGGGTGCCTATAGTTAAAAAGGGATCAAAGTCTTTACCAAGTAATTACAGACCTGTAAGCTTAACTTCAATTGTTGGGAAGATACTTTCATTAAGGATCACATGCAATTGTTTTTGTTTGCAAATAATATCATAAGGGATAGTCAGCACGGATTCACAAAAGACAGAAGTCGTCAAACAAACCTACTTTCTTTTTATGAGGAAGTGAGTAATAAATTGGACAGAGGAATGGCTGTGGATATAGTATACTTGGACTTTGCAAAAGCGTTTGACACAGTTCCCCACATGCAGCTAATGTATCAGTAAGTATAGAGTATTTGTTACGTACCTTTCTGGGAGACCGGATGTGAGGGGAGGCTTCCCTTGCACGTTGTGTCCTGGGATACTCTGAGGATGGGAACAGAGCCCAGCGGGACAACAAGTGGCGGGAGTGCCAGTGGTGTTGAGCACCGTGCAAGCCGTAATCCGTTGAGACGAGCCGAGGTCAGGTTCCAAGCGGGCAAATCCAGTACAAGAAGGGGTTAGGCAGAAGAATGGTAAAATAACAGTTCCGTGGTCAAGGCAGGCAGCGTTCTAGGTTTGTTGAGAAAGTCCGGGTCACAAGGATCAAGCAAAGTATCACTAAACAGGAACAAGGATTAGCTGACGATAAACCAGCAACATGGTGGTACTGCTGCTGGGTTTATATAGGGCCAGTGATATCATTTCCTGTGCGCCGCTTTGGCGGATTTTCGTGCTGATAGAGTACTGCGCATGCACGGGTTGGCGCATATTCCTGCACGCAGGTTACTGCTTCTGCGCATGCGTGGAACGGCGCGTTCCCGAGCATTGCGGGAAGGCGCAGGCTGCACATGCGCAGACGGCTGGGATCCATTACAGTATTCAATCTGTAATTGGATGGAAAACTGGCTTAAAGACGGTATGCAGAGAGTGGTGATCAATGATGCTTACTCTAAATGGATTGAGGTTGTTAGTGGTGTCCCCCAAAGTTCAGTGTTGGGCCCCTTATTGTTTAATCTATTTATAAATGACATAGAATTGGGGATTAAAAGTACTGTTTGTGTGTTTACAGATGATACCAAGTTATGTAGTGGAATACAGTCCTTAAAGGATGTCTCCAACTTACAAGCAGATCTGAATGCATTGTGTGATTGGGCATCTATTTGGCAAATGAGGTTTAATGTAGATATAAGTAATGCACTTGGGGACAAAAAACATGCATGTGTCATACACTCTGGGGGGGGGGGATATGTTTGGGGGGGTCAATGATGGAGAAAGAGCTGGGTGTTCTGGTAGATCATAGACTGAATAATAGCATGCAATGCCAAGCCGCAATTTTTTAAAGCAAGCAAAATACTTTCTTGTATTAAAAGGAGTATAGACTCAAGAGATAGAGACATCATCCCGCCCCTGTACAAAGCATTAGTAAGACCTCATCTGGAATATGCAGTTCAGTTTTGCGCACCAGTTCACAAAAAGGATGTTGTGGAACTGGAGACAGTGCAGAAAAGGGCAATAAACTCATAAGAGGCATGGAGGAGCTCAGCTATGAGCAAAGATTAGGTGAACTGAATCTGTTCCCTCTGGAGAAGAGGCAATTAAGGGGGGACATGATCACCATGTATAAATACATAAATGGTGCATATTGTGAGCTTGGTGCCAATTTATTCACTTTAAGGTCACTACAATGGACAAGGGGGCACTCTTTGTGTCTGGAGGAAAAGAGGTTTAACCTTTGCATATGGAAAGGATTCTTCACAGTTAGAGCTGTGAAAATGTGGAATAGCTAGCTCAATTAACTACTTTAACCACCAAAAAAAAAACACGGCTGCTGAAGCAGCCAAGTTCTTGGTGCCAGTTGTAACAGCCGGGGCTGTTAATGTACAAGCTATCCAGCTTCGATACAGCCACCGGATCATTTATACCGTGCGACATAAAAAATTGCAACTAGCATTTTTTTTTATTCTACAGGGCCTTTGATTTAAAAAAAATATATCATTGTTTGGGGGTTTGAAGCTGTTTTCTAGCCAAAAATGTATATTTTATCATGTGTGCGCAAATAGTAAGAAATAACTCCGGACAGCAAGTGGTTAAAAAAAATCTGGATGTATTCCTAAATGCACAGATTATTACTGGATCTTGAGTTCTTATAGGTATATTAAGTACCAGAGATTGTTGATCCAGGGAATATCCGATTGCCTTATGGGATCATGAATTTCCCCCTGTTGGAGCAAATTGAACCATGCTTTATAGGGTTTTTTTCCCCTTCCTCTGGATCAACAGGGGGTAGCTGTGGGCATGGCGTTCTGTTTTCAGTTTTTCTTCTTTCTTTTTAAAAAAAAATCTCTATAGGTTGAACTCGATGGACTTGTGCCTTTTCTCAATCTGGCTAACTATGTAACCCTTGGTGATACCTCTTCTTCAATTTGTAGTTACATTACCTGTGAAACTGTAAAAAGGTACCTTTCATTAACTTACCAGGTCTTTAGGGCTATCTTCTTGAAATATTTTTGATATGTCCTCCAGTGTCAGTTCCTTTCTAGGTTGAATGTTGCCCAGAATCATATAACCCACCTTCTGTAAGTTTGGGGTGTCATGAGCACACCCCTTGGGTGTGTGCGTATACACAGTGAGATTTGTACCATTCTCTGCAGAATTCAGGACTGCTCACAGCCAGAGGTGTGAAAAAACAGAAGAGGAAGAGGACCCTACTTGTCATGGGACTGGCCAGAAGACTAGCAATACATACCTGGAATTTAGGTATGTATTGGGAAAATAGAATAAAAAAGTATGGGGATGAAGGAGTGCAAAAATCTCAGAACTGGGCTTAAAGTCTAATCACTGAAAGATAACTTGCAATTGGCTACTGTGCTGTATTGTACCTTTCTCTATGTCACACTAAATAAACATGTCTTCTTAAATTACCAGCATATAATAAAATACATTTAATGTTATTGAAACATTACCTGATTTAGGATATGTGATATTAAAGATATCATCATCCCGTACTAGAAATTCATTTTCTGCAAAGGTAATATCTTCTTCCTGGCATGCCATGATTGGGAACATTGTTCCTTTGTAATTAAAGTGTAATCCAGTCATTGTGAACCTAAATGTGGACAGCATGCAAAATGTAATCCTATCAGCTGTAATTATGTTTTTTTATTTCCTGAGAAAGAAGTGATATACTTTCTATAATAAAATGTTGTTAAATTTTTACAGAATTTACACAAAACACACCACAGAAATCAGTTATCTCACATTCATATGGCCATTTGTTGTTAGCTGCTAACTTATGACTGTTGGAGGACAGGAAAAAAATAGTAATAGAAGTAATGCAATTTTCTGCAATTCACCCTGCAATTCAGGTAAGGGAGGCGGTGTGGGTTTTGGGGATGGGGTAGGCAACAAAATGTCATGATACAATCTAAATATAGGTGCAACCTGACACATGGTCCAAAAGGTGGAGCTAGCCTTTAACATTTCAAAAGGTCATAGTTTCTTAAGGCTCTTTCACACTGCCAAATCATGAATTATTTTTTTTTCTTTGATCCCAAGGGGGATATTACCTGAAACTGTGACGCAACTGCATTTGGTGCTGGATTGTTTTGCGACCCCATTAATCTCTATGATCTAATTTTTGCTGCAAAGTAGTGTCCAGCTGCAATGTTAACTTGACAGTGGGTGGCCAAGGAACGTTGAAAACATGGAATAACTGGTTGTTATTTACTGCCGCTATCATTATTCAACTCTCATTGCTGCCTGTTAGTTGCTAAGACCACCTGGCATTCTAGCAACTAACCACCAGCAGCCAGGGACTGGAACAATGACAGCAGCAATCTCCTGTCAGTATTCAACCACCACAGCTGCTGGCGCATTGCTAGGACTACTTGGCATCCTAGCAGCTAACCGGCAGTGGTGGCCAGCAGGGGTTGAATAATGACAGTGACTGTCCTCTGTCTTAGTGGGTCGGCAAACATTCGCTGACCCAAGGAGTGGGGCCCTCCCTTTAATTGGCACCCAGGGCATGTGCCATATGTGCCATGCCCTGGATACACCACTGCTCAAGAGTAAACAATGCTTTTTGCACCTTACGTTCACCTTCCTTATTAACTCCAATTAATTTTGCCAACATGGTAGCATTTGCTTGAAATCTCTCGATTTTAGCAGAAATTTAGCGAAATATAAACTCTTTTCCCTACTTATGACTCAGCCAGTCCTAACCTGCATCCAGCCATAAGCATCCATATGTGGACAGGTAAAGCAAACTTATTAAAGCTTATTTTATAAACTAACTAGTACCCTTGTTACAGTGCTCGGCTCTGCATCTATGCAATACTGCCACGCAGAGTGATCTCCTTCCCAGTAATATGAACAAAGTTCTGGTGGCAGCAGCAAATGTTAATTGTTGATGTATACAAAACTCTTTATACAGGCATGCAACAGCTGGGGGCCAAGCTGTTCAGGAAGGGTTAAAGGAGAATTATGAGGCGAGTGATTTTTCACTCAGCCTCATAATCTGAGCCGACCTGTGACAATGAGACTGTCACAGGTCGGCTCAGTAGATCGGGAAGTGAGCGAACACATACCGGCGCTCGCTCACTTCTCGATCTATCCGTGCAGAGAGCCTGACTGTCACTCACGGCTCCCTGCAGGGATTCCCCCCCTACCCTGTCCGATCCTTCAGCGCTGACTGGCGGAAAGGACGGGGGAGGGGGCGGGTACAGCTGGCTCTGCCTCTAGATAGCCAGAGCCAGCTGTCACTCACGCAGCTGGGTGGATCCAGACAGAATTGTCGGGATCCGTTCCGGCTGCGGCGTCTCAATATACCGCAAGCTGTAGGTCGCTATATACTGAGCTTTGGGTTACGGGAGGATGCTAGTTTGTGTCCCCCCGTTACCCTTAGGAGAACTATGGGGAAAAGCCCTAACCCCATAGTTCTCATTTAATAGAATCTGTGCTGGGGCAGGCTGAAGAGGTACTAGAGATTTTGCTGGAAGGGCAAGATGGGAAGGGTTAATGAAGTCTGTTCTGGGCATAGGCGTCTCTACAGGTGGGCAAGGGGGGCAATTGCCCAACCCCCCCCC